TGTATATGTCTCAACGCAATGGTCAGGTCTGTATTATAGTTCAGAATGCCGACAAGTAAGAAGCCGTATCACCAAATAGCCATTACATATGTTTTTCATAGACTTAGATCCTAATAACAGAAACTGTAAAGTTTATAAACTGATGTTTATTAACATTAGTATCTTCATAATTGAGCCGCCAAGAAAAATTAACGATATGGTGCAATTCTTCGGTGTCAAGCATTGGGACACACTTAAGCATACTGCAACAAACAATTCAAGTATGCCACATGTTCATTAAATCACCCAAGAACCGACTGTCCGAAAGAGAAGAACCAATCAGCCACATGCGCTAACTGTAACGAGGGCCCTTATGCGAGCTACAAAGGCTGCCGAAAAAAATTGGCTCTGGATCTCTAAGACAATAGTAGGGTCACACCACTTTAAAAGATTACACGTGCTGAGATAAATAGACAAACTATAATGTAATATATATTTGCACTCATTGGAGCTCAAACAATCCTGTTAAGTTTTATTATATCTTACTTTATTTTCTAAGCAATTTGTTTATTGTCTTAAGACAGATTGCAAATAGAAACCGACTTATTATAATTTTATATGTAGCTTTAAATATGTTTATAAGTTAACACATCCGGCCAATCATAAGTCAACAACCGCTCGATCGTGCAGAATAAGAACATTTGTGCATGGTCACCAGTCTGAGCGTATGCATCGTGTGCGGCTACAACAACATAGCCGCGTGTCAGCAACAATGTTTCCCTCAGCCTACCCATGCGCTGGCTGTCCGAAATACGATCCGCTTGGACAAAAGTGATGTATCAGCGAATATAGGTCACAGGGCTAGTTTCGCGTTAAGAAGATTTTTGGACTTAGTTTTTAGTTTGATTTGATGAATAAACACGCTCAGACCTAAAAAGACTCGCATCTCTGGTAACTTAGTGACATCGCACAAGTCGGGAGAACAGCAAAAGCTTAATTGGCGCCCAACAGTAAATTCGCGCTCTATTCAAAAAATAAAAACACCAGCAAAACCAGCAGCAGCAACTACAGTGACGGACGGTCACTTTTATTTATAAAAAATACACACACACACACAAAACAAAAAGACAAGTTAAGTGCCTATTTAAAATTCTTGTAGAAAAATTCCATGCAAAAAAAAATTAAATTAAAAAATCTTTGTAACGCACACGGGTATTTGTAAAATAAATCTTTGTGAGCAAAATTTTCAACTTTTACATAGAAAAATACCCTTATTGTGTGTTAATGAACTAGAAGAATTAGTATCCAGTTTACACAAGATTCCTGTTGAATTAAAACAATTTAAAACAAACGAACGCGAGAATTGGTGGACCGATCAGAACTAAATACATAAAATGACGCTTAACGAGTCCGATATAAAAACGCTACTCGAGCTCGCAGTTAACACTGCACTCGCAAAAAATAAAAGATTTAAAAAGTAAATTTACCAACACGTCAGTGACTGTAACCGGAGTAGAAGTATTTAAAGATGCTAAAATATTACCAGACATACAATGCAACGAAACAGTAGATATTGCGAAGTGAGTACCTAACTTTGAGGAAAACACGAAACGTACGTTTCAATGCGTACAGCCGCCCATATAGCTTATAAAGTTTTTAAAAACTATTCAGGAAGTTCAAAACATTTCCAGGTATTAGCTATTATTAGAAATAAAATGAAAGCCCCTGCCAAAATGGTGCTGTCTTCGTATGACGCGCCACTGAATTTTAAAGCAATCATTAACATTATTGACTTTACATACGCCGATAAACGACCTATTTATGTACCTAATTGAGCAAGACTATCGACTCTGCGCCAAGGAAACTTGACCATAATACAGTACTACGAGAAAACCGTAAACTAACGCTCCTCTTTAATAAGACAATAATGACTTACGGCGGCACTATGGCTGCATCCTTGAGGGTATTTATTTCAGGCACAAAGAAATCCTTGACCGACATTCTTTTTTAGGCACGTCCTAAAGACCTGCCATCAGCTCTGGCTTTATCTCAAGAAGTTGAGTCTACCCATGAACGCTTCCAATTTGCAAATAATTATGCAAAAAGTCTTGAGCAGCGAGCTCAACGGAATGAGCAACGACAACAAAAAATTTTAGTTACGGACAATAGCAACCCACAACAGGGTAAAAGCATATTTTTCAGTAAGCAGAAAGCTCAGAATGACAGCCCTTTCCCTAAACAGGAGCCACCTCAACCTATGGACACTGACTGTTTATTCCGGTTTAGACAACCTAATTAACAAACTAACCAAAACGTCCCCCTTTACACGCCATTTCCAAATCAAGCCAAAAATGGAGCAAATAGTGGCACTGCTAGGTACACGGGACCAAAACAACAAAGAGTAAATCACCTTTCTCAGGAAGAAAACCCACCTCACCAAGAGGAGCAAGAATACCACGCTATTGCCGAATCGGAGGTAGTCGCCAGTAACGATAGATGTAATCAGTACGAAGAAGTCAATTTCTTAGACATAGCTCCCTGCTACCGTTTGAAGAACAATCGATAGTAGGTAAAAGAATTAAATTACTTATAGACACGGGTGCTTCAACAAATTATATAAAACCTTTAACAGAGATATAAAAAGTAACAGCAGTAAATATACCTATCTTAGTTAATGGCTTTAACTTCATGGCTTTAACTCTGTTCAGAAAAAATGCCTCATGATTCTTTTCAACACAACAGCTACATTCTTTACACTCCCAAACTTGTCAACTGTTGACGGAATAATAGGACTTGATCTACCTCATAATAATCTACCTCAAAATATTGCAAACTGAATTTGGATCTAAAATAATCCGATTTTTAAAGTGCACAAATGTCAACTTTACAGAAGTTGGAAGTATAGAGGTCCTTCAACAAATCCAAAAAGAATTCAAAGAAATGATAAGAAAACGAACAGGTGACTTTGTCTCCCGTATAATACCAGTATCGTCTCTAGGACCCGATATATTCTAAATAGTGCCCGTACCCAATGGGCGGTTCTGATTTTGCAAATACCGAAACCAACAATTTATTAAAAGATAACATAATTAGGCCATCTCGATCACTCTGTAATAACCCGGTGTGGGTAGTAGACATAAAGGGAATAGACGAATAGGGAAACAAGAAGAAACGACTTGTTATCGACTTTAGGAAATTAGGTTCTAAAACCATCGACGATAAATACCCTATACCCGAATATAGTAGCCATTCTCTCAAATCACGGAAAAACAAAGTATTTTACAACAGTTGACGAAGCACTTTGGGAACAAATTGGTAAGTCATGTTATGTTTGCGTAGATGACGTTATCATCTTCTCAGAAAACATGGAAAAACATGTAAAGTATATTGCAGGGGTATTTGATAAACTATATGAAGCTATTATGGGGGTCTCACGAGAAATGTCACACTTGTTCAAAGAAAAAGTTGAATATCTTGGATTCGTGACCTCTCAGGCGGTATTACAACGAACCCCAGTAAACAAGAAGCGATCGGGAAGTTTGAACAACCAACCACATTGTTCCATGTAAGATTAACCGCTAACAGAAATACTGAAAGGGGACAACGGCAAAGTGAGCGCCGGACATTAAAAAAAGATATCTGTAAGCCTCTACGATAAACAACGTCCGACTTTCGAGAAACTCAAAAAATTCTCATTTTGAAAGACGTCATATTACTCTACCCTGAATACCAAAAACCTTTTGATTTGACAACAGATGCTTCATCTTTTGGCCTAGGAGCAGTCCCATCTCAAGATGGGAAACCAATTACTATGATTTCCAGATTACTTAGAGATAACGAACAAAATTTCGCGACAAACGAACGTGAGCTACTTGTCATAGTGTGGGCATTAAAAACCCCTAAGAAACTATCTATACGTCGTAAAAAATCTCAATATTTACACCGACCATCAACCGCTGACGTTCGCAGTCTCTGAAAAAATCCAAACGCGAAAATAAAGAGATATAAATCTTTCATTGCTGAGAATAACACTCGAATTTTCTATAAGCCAGGGAAAGAAAATTTTGCTGCCGACGCTTTGTCATGACAAAATTTGCATTCCTTAGAAGAAAGTGTCCCATCTGATTTGGCTATTATACATAGCGAACTGTCGCTAACGTATACTATCGAGTCCACCGAAAAACCAGTAAATTGTTTTCGAAATCAAATAATTATTGAAAAAAAAGGAGTCCCATCAACGCGCACTATAAATATGTTTGGTCAGAAAACAAGGCATATCATACATTTTTCTGACAGAGAAAACTTAATAGAAAATGTGTATGAGGCGGTCAAGATAGATGTAGTAAACGCAATTATGTGCGAATTGCCAATCTTAGCATTTATCCAATGTTAACTAGTGGAAACATTTCCGACAGCAAATTTCTGGCATTCCAAAAGAATAGTCATTGACGTTCTTGACAAAAATAAACAAAAAGAAATAATAACCGCAGAGCAAAGCAGGGCTCATAAAGCAGCTCAGGAAAATTGCAAACAGAAATGACTCGCCTGATTAATGAAATAGAAGCGAACTGCAAAGTTTGTAACAGAGCCAAATATGACCGGCACCCACAAAGACAGGTTATTGGTGAAACACCTATCCCTTCTCAGGTAGGCGAGATACTCCATGTTGACATTTTTTCCACAGATAATAAAATATTTTAATAAAGCTCGGGAACTACAGCTACAAAGATATAACGAGACAAGACGAAACAGAACCTTCCAAGTAGGTGATAAAGTACTTACGAAAATAAATAAAAGGCTAGGTAACAAACTTACACCCATGTACTAAGGCGAGATACTCCATGTTGACATTTTTTCCACAGATAATAAAATATTTTAATAAAGCTCGGGAAATACAGCTACAAAGATATAACGAGACAAGACGAAACAGAACCTTCCAAGTAGGTGATAAAGTACTTACGAAAATAAATAAAAGGCTAGGTAACAAACTTACACCCATGTACTAAGTTGTAATAATAAAAGTTGACTTGGGAACAACGGTTCTAATAAAGGAGAGGGAGGTCCATAAGAACAATGTACGATAAGTTGCTATTCCATTTCTCACTCTATTTTATATTTTTTACTTAGGCTTTCGACTGTGCTACTTTTCGTAACATTAACAACCGCCAAGCGAACAGATCGGATTACATCCCACTAATGAACGGAAATACTATTATCTGGCAAAACTTTAAGTATCTCAGACACTCATCGAACTTGACCATGTGCTCGGAAATAGCCGAGGTAACAAGATTGCTTATGAAACATTTTCCCCAGGCACTTTAAGAAACTGTTAAAATTTACGATAGACATACAAGAAGTATTAAGTTCCTAGGAACCGCTTTGAAAGTAGTTGCTGGAACCCCTGATTTTGAGGATTATGAAAAAATAAAATTCAATCAATAAAGGTTAATCGAATCAATAGACAGTCAAACAGTTATAAACACTCAAGTACAGGAAAAAATTAAAAAAATTAACCGAAACTGAAAACAATATTGTCAAGGTAGCCAAAGAGAAACAAATCGAAACGGACTACCTCTATGAGACACTACTCGTACCGGATAGATTCTAATCTCAGAACTCGAGACATTAATGTTTGCCAGGTACACTTGCAAAGCTCTAAATTATAACAGTAGCCTATTTAATGAAAGTAGCATATGTCAATGTTTTATTAGTTTTTAATTTTTACATTTTATAATCAAATATCACGATCTTAGCCTAGTTTGTGAATAAATCAGTTTATTTCCTGTTCAACACAATGGTACAATACTTAATTTCGCTGATAAAAATAATGTCGCAGACTGCGGTAATTAAATACTGCAATTGCTCACGCTCACGTAAACATTTTGCAAGCAGCTACCCTCCACGACATGCGCGCAACGATTACATTCCGGAGGCAGTGCGCATTGCAGCACTCGTTCCAGTCACCTAGAACCACTGGAGGTACTATATAATAAACGAAGTAACTGCAACAGTACAGAGACAACCGTCCATATCCGTACCGTAAAAATCACAAAATTTATAGTCACTTTAGCAAATAAATATATGTTTGACAATGTACTCCGCAGAGCGTCTTCTTCTTCACGTGTCACCATCTATGCAGTCTTATTCTCTAAACTGCCACAGTTTCATTATGAATGCTTTGTATTTTTCCTTTTGTATCTTGGTTGCCTGCGTTAATTTGTACTTTATCTTAAATAAGAACACACTGAAGTTCCGTGCTTAAAAAAAAATGATTATGTAATGCATAAAGGGGCTATTTGTAAGACGTGAATGTAAACATTTTGGACAAGTGATAATTGTAAAAACCTATTCATTTGGCGAAAAGCAAAACTGCATTGTATTTGGAAAAAATTAATTCTGCATAGACGTCGATGAGAAGTCTGGCGATCAATATTAGAGTGATAGGTCGTTCAAATGAAAAGCGTGCCCATCCAACCAGATTACTGGGCAGTTGCGTCGTAAGAAACAAAAACGGCAGTGTGGAACAAAAAAACTGCGTTGGATATAACAGACTTAAAGGTGCTGGCTAGCATTATGCTTTCATTAGGTTATCGCAGATTAATAATTTTAAGAATTTGCGGCACATACGCAATGGGTAAAGTTAAAGGAAATTCATATGCCACAACAACTTGTGCGTCTTGTCAATTTTTCAAACATTTATTGCAAATGAAAATGGAAGACTCTGACGCATTGATAATTTAGCGCAATTACGGCCAATAAACGACACCATGCACGAAGCACAAGGTCAGCAACTTCAGAAAGTAGGGCTTACATACTTTATAAGAATTTATGTTATTGGAGCTAGTTGAAATTTGGACATTAAACGACTCGCGCACCTAGAAGCCCCTAAAATCTTTAGTTTAAGGTAAGGTTGATGGTTAATCGGTTAAACGGAGAATAATGGAGACAAATGATGATCTCGTCGTAAATCGGACAGGAAAAAACAACAAAACAAACAACAACAATTTCTTATTGTTTGGATTGCTGCTAAAGAGCAGCAGGATTTGTTCTCTCTAGAGACAAATAGGAAAAAGGGCTTTGGCGTGCAGAGAAATTTAACAGAGATTATATAGTGCCACAATCGTTTCGGTCACTTGAATGCTGCAAGCCTAAGGAAAATAATAACAAAATTTAGTGTTTTGCATAAGAGAAATTCACTGTTTTAATCTCAGAGACCATGTATGCGAAAATCGTGCAAATGTAAAATATGCTTGGCGCCATTTCGATAAAGATTGGAATGTCGTACCAGAGAATTGCTAGATTTGGTGCACAGAGACTATTGTGTCACAACGAAAAAGTGTTCTGTGGGCATTGCACGTTATTACTCCTAATTTAATGACAACAAACCGCGACATGTGTATGAGTGCTTTTGAAAACACGTGGTGAAATAGTAGGAACATTCACTTAAGGCCTATACAGAGAAGCTGACAGCAAAAACATAGCTTCTGCACGGTGACAATGGGCGCGAATATTTGACTTACACTTCCGAACACTATAATATGTCTGGGTTAAAACCATTCGTAAGCCGCCTGAGAGAGTTTGGCGCAAAGGCTGCCGTGCCAAACAAGCTACAGTTAGAAATTCCTATCCAAAGCTAACGTGCAAGTTATGCTTGGCTACTCAGAGGGCATACCGGTTGAACAATCCAATTACACAATGAATATAAATTTACTGATAACAGTGTGCAGGCCAAAGATTTCGTAGGTGTTACTGGAGTTGCAATTGAATTTGCAGTGAAGCATGATAAGAATGGCCAAATCACCTGTTTCATATCTCGATTGATGGCTAATGGTTGCTAAAAATTCTTATCATGATTAAGCTTAACAAGTAGGAGGTTCTAGTCGGGAGCTCCCGACTAGGGGATACCCTGAACCCTCTTATTCCAACACCAAATGCAGCACGCGCTACGAGCTCGTTTGCTTTAGTAGTAATAAAGATAAATTTAAAAAAAAAAGTTCCTTGGCAGGGTTCGAACTCGTAACTGACCGCATTACTTACCGACGCCTGTACTCAACACTAGCAAAAAAAAAAAAATAGTTTCCTCGGTAGGGTTCGAGCTCGCAACAGAGCACACTACTTAACGCCACCTCCACCCAACAGCCACACCAATTATTGAGACTTAATGAGAAAACAACGAATTAAAATAGCAGCACAGAAAACAATACAATCGCAATTGCAATCCTGTTGATAGAATTCAAAGCAGACGCGCATGAGTGTGTGTGTGTACATGTATCCAGAAATTCTTGGAATTTGCGCTAGCTGCTGCTAACACGTGCGCACATAACTTTTGTGGTTCTTAAGCGATCTTAATGAAATTTTCGTTAGTACATCTTATTGTACTATAAAATATTCGTGTATTCTCAAAATGACAATTGTATTTAAATGGTGGCTTATATTGGCGGGCAGCACAAATTGGTTTATTTACTTGATTTATAGCTTTGCTGTGGTAGCAGGGAGGTGGCGATATCTGAAAGATACTTGATATATATATACTATTCTAGAAGCTACATGTCAAGTTTTGTGACTCTAGCTCATATTATTTGCCGAAATTGCTCAAAAAACAGGATTTCGATATCGATTTTTATCTATTACTTGGAAACGGGGCAAGTTATCGAATATCGGAATCAAACTCGATCTGCGCGGGCATTAGGAGGACCTACAGCTAAAATTTCTCTAGCTCTTATAGGTTCTGATATCATTGCGTTCATACATACGGACAGACGGACGGACGGACAGACAGACGGACATAGCTAGATCGACTCGGATATTGATGCTGATCAAGAATATATATCTTTATGGGGTCGGAGATGCTTCCTTCAGCCTGCTACATACATTTGCACAAATACAATATACCCTGTTTACCCATTTTTAATGGGTTCAGGGTATAAAAAGAGTAATAGACAACTTAGAATAGATGGAAACTGATTAATAGAATGAAGAAAGAGTTTTGGTCAAAAGATTATTTGTATGCCCTACAACAAAAAAGTAAGTGGAATAAAGGAACATTGAGACTACAGTGGGAACCTTTGAAATACGAATTTAAAATTAAGGTCAATTGTGAGAGCTCCGAAAACTTAAACAAAAGACAAGTATTATCCACGCTTGCAAAGATTTTAATAAATTAGGTTGGCTATCCCCAGTTACAGTTGTAGGAAAATTATTCATGCAAAAATGATGGCTGATAAACAAAGATTAAGATGACAAAGATACAAAGTTAAGGAACTCAGAAAAGCAAATATAATGTTACTTAAGCAAGAATAGACAAATAATTTGCCACAGAAATAAATTGCTTACGTCAGAAAAAAGAAATTGAAACAAGGCGTAACATACTAGGACCAAACCCATTTTTAGATCAAAATGGGATATTAAGAGTCGGAGGTAGACATAAAAATTCAAAAATTAAGGAGAGTTACACACTGCTAAAGGCAAAGGAAATATTTATACAGAATAAACTCATCACAAATTCAAAAATACCATTGTTCAGTAGGCAAGCTATTTAAATTTATACCAGTACCACTACAAAGAGATGAACAGATTATAATGATACAGTTAAGTTCAGACTATTGAGTATATAACTTTGAGATGGATTCGTACCATCTAATGATTGTATTAATTTAAGTCGTAATTATTATTGTATATCTGAAAAATAACCGTAAATAAAAAACTGCAGGCCATCACCTTGAACACACCATCACACATGAACAATTGACACCGAATCTCAGTTAGACCCTCGGTAAAAATATATTTCACACCATATTGTACAACTGCAGCCAGCAGCATAAAAACAGATAGCGCACTTGTGGTCGCTTAAGATTCTAAGAGCGAACTACGCTAAGAAATATCATGTTAGAATAATAATTAGCAAGAGTGAGAAAGATACCCTAATTAAACACAATAGTTTATAAATAAGACACTCTGTTAGTATATAAGACCTAGGATTCGTAAGAATAAAACAGTATCTTACAAGTACTCAACGTGGATACATCCGTCCAGAAAACATGGGGTCATATCGGCTACATACATGTGCACACATACATTAATACGTGTGTTCCGTTTCAAAGTATAATTTAAATCAGTTTTTTCTTTTGAAAAATCCAAAGTTATTAAAAAGAACGTTGGCTAATATTGACGTGCTTGCGGCAGCTAGCGCAAATTGCAAGAATTTATGTATACATGTACACACACACATACATGCGCTTCTTTATTGAATTTTATAAACACCCAGTGGACGTACACACGAACCTTTAGTGAGAGGCTCGCAAAATGTTCACAAATGAGCTCGTATGTGAGCAGAGAATGAGTGGTATATATTTTTTATCACAAAACACTCGCACACGAGCGTTGCAGTGAGATCTTTGCGATAAAAATGCGACTACAGTAGAGAGAATGGTGTGTTGTTTTTCGTTATTTCTCTTATAGGTTCTGAGATCCTTGCGTTCATACATACGGACAGCCGGACGGACGGACAGACAGACGGACATGGCTAAATTGAGTCGGCTATTGATGCTGATCCAGAATATATATACTTTATGGGGTCGGAGATGCATCCTTCTGCCTGTTACATACATTTGCACAAATACATAATACCCTTATTACCCATTTTTAATTGGTTCAGGGTATAATTATTGAGATTGAAAATAAAATGTTGCATACCCGATTAGTTGTTGACCTAGATCCATTTTTTACTTTTCCAATGATCTCCACCTTTGTAGGCATATTCTCTTCAAACCTACTCAATTTCGACTCGAAAGTAGTGCTACATAATGTTAAAAAAATATCAGGCAAAATATTTCATTTTGTGTATAACAACACTTACTTTCCTTTAATTGACTTAATTCAGATAATAACCTCGTCGTATTTTGGATGGCGGTTAAAATGTAGTGAGCTACGAAAATAGTCCAAATTACAGACTAGCAGGTAACATATTGACATTATTTAATATTTTATATCAGAGGTCGCAAATAACAGTCAACACTTATTTTCAATGCGGTCGGGTCTCGAATAAACAGAAAAAAACGAAGCAAATTCGGTTTTGCTCTCCATCGAACACATTATTTCCTAGCAAATGTGAACTCTGTTTGTGCTTTTGCTTGAGCAATACAGCTGTTATGTCTGACAGTAAGATTTTAACAGGACACATTCGGTCGGTCGCACAGAAATGTGTGTTTTTTGAAGAGCAAAACGAACAAAGTGGAAGCGAAAAGTGACTTTTCTTGTTTTTGTCGTGTGACGATATCAATGAAAGCTAGAGCGAGAGCGAGTGAGAGAGTGAAAAAAGGGCATGACATAATACAGTTAAGATGTAGGCAAGCTATTTTAAATAGGTGTACATGCATATATTAAAAGCTATAAGAAAACTCCAATTAAATAATTTCTAGTTTGTTTATATATGTTTATGTGTATGGGTATTTTTATTAAATATTAAGTTTAACAATTAAAAATGCATGCAATTTTATTAGACACACACAAGCACAAAAGACACTTTGGCAGCAATTTTTTCTGTTCAGTGTTCGTGGAATAACATGCCCGAAAAAAATACGAATAAAAGTGCCTTTGCTCGTGCTAGAGTCCACTACATAGAAACAGAACTTTGTGTGTTTTCTTTCTCCCTTATTCATTCTGTCTGACAATAACTGTTATTTTACAGACAACCCGAAAATGTTGACTGTTATTTGCGACCTCTGTTTTATATATATTATATTCATTTTTATTTCATCTATTTTCAGACATCTAATATTCCATCAAATACTCAAGGACATAGTATTTCAAATAATCAATCCAATAATTCCGGTAATGTAATGAGACAATTTCGCTTTTAATGCATATTTAATAGATTTTTTAAAATTTATTTGCAGAAATATTGAACCTATTAAGAAAAAGTTTTGACAATATGAATGAGATGATGACAAAATTGATCGCCAAGGGGCAAAAATTAAGAAATGAAATATCTATTTTTAAGGGACGAGTTTGAGGAGAGACGCATAAGGCGAAATTGATGTTGCCAAGTTCACCAAACGCTACTCTTGGGGACTTTGAGGCATTTGAAGAATGTCTTAAAGATGAGAAGTCCTTCAAGAATTTGGTAAGGAAACTTTAAATTAAATAATTTTACTATCATTGAAATAGTCGCAAGTTCTTAGAAAATTTAAGACAAATTCATCAGGAGCTCCTGGCGCCAGTTAGTTAGAGACGATGTTGCAAAACAATGCTCCTGGTGTGGGGCGGAGAAAAAAATGTGCGTTAGAGGCCTTCCAGTAAGCATTCCATTTATAACCAGTATATGCGCAAATTAATATTATTTTGTTATTGTCTACAGATGCTTTTAAAAGCAAGCTTGCCTGGAGGACGACGATTTCGACTGCGTAACACAGAAATATTTTGAATACAGGAAAGAGTGGCGCTCTTAGAAAAATCTGATGCCAAAAAATGAAAATATAATTTTTTTTCTTTTATTAATAATAAATAATAAATGTATTTTATTAATGTGATAACTTAAATCATTATAAAGTTGCCAAAATATGCGTTTAAATTTTAAATTAAATAAATGTTTTTTATTTTTAAATAAAATTTGAATTAAAAATTAATAGTGCAGTCGCCACGGGATAAAGTCCGATGGGGAGGGACTTATTATTTTTTAATTTATTTTTATTACTGCTAATCAAACGAGCTCGTAGCGCGAACTGATTTTATGATAGGAACTCTCGACGAGATCCTCTTACTTGTTTATCTTACATTTATTAATTTTTAAAGAAATAATGATTAAGAATATCCCAAAAGCCACAACAATGCGACACAATTATACTTATATTATACTCAATCGTATTTGAGTGTTTTTAAATTAAATAAAAAAATTAAATTCGTCTTGTACTTCATACTAGATAGCCAAAGGTGTACAAGCAAAAATATTTTCGGCTAGCAACAGTTAAGTTAAGCTACAGATATCTTAAGAAATACTTTTTTTTAATCGGGGCTGTAGTGTGCATATTCAATTTAGATTGCATCGACATAGAGTAAAAATTCTTGGTACTTATGCGGCTTATTCCAATGCACCGGTGCACAGGAAAATTAGACTATTTACGCAGTCATACAACTTGTATATATTAAGAAAATTAATTAAAATAAAGTTAAAAGATTTTGTTTTTGCTTTAAGGAAGACAAAACAACAATGCACATTCACTTGTTCAGACATTAATTGGGATGCATCTGCGCAAAACTCTACTACCAAGTGAAAAGTAGAAATCTATAAAAAATCCTTAAAAAAATTGAAAATCTCTAAAAGCAAATGACTAAAAATAAAGTTCCTCGAAAATTTAAGCTAAATATTGTAAGTAAGTTTACTTACCACTATGGCTTCTCCTGCATTCAAATTTCTTACTGATGATACAATACATTTTGGTTTTCAAACAGATTAATGGGGAAACACACCAGCAGTATTGCCAATTAAGCCGTATTTTCTGGAAAAATCTGTCTGTTTTATACCTTATTATCCGATTATAATGGGTAACATACAATGAACGAGTCGACCTAGCCACGTCCGTATGTCTGTCCGTTTACCTGTACTTACGAACGCGTCGATTTAATAACCTTTAGAGCTGGAGAGCACCTCTTAGGTTTTAAGAGCTAGTCACCAATTTTAGCATTTAACTTCTCATATGGTATACACATTTATTTTTTAAATACCGCCCCTTGATCGAGCAAAATCAAATGAACGAATTTGAATTGAAGGCCATAATTTTAGTGCTGTCTTCTTTTTGCGAATATAAAAGCATAATGTACTAATTCAATAAGAAGTATTGCAGAAAATATCATCAAGATCGTGCGATCATGGTCATCTTGGTAAACCGTGTGACCGCTACCGCAAAACCCAAGAGTTTTCGCATACATGTGCCCACATACAGTCATATGAGTTTGTCTTCTTCGAATTATATATATAAGTTAACACGCGCAATGCCAACAATCCAATCTTGCGAATCCTATACAGGACCCTCTAAGGTAAAAGGGCAAAACCACCCACTGGTTTTTACAAAATAAATTTTAATATAAATAAATCAAATTCAAAACAAAAAAAAAAAACCTAATTCCTTCAATCACAAACTTCTAAAATTTTAAATATATTAATTGTCAATAATATTAAGCTTTGTAGATATCGACAAGTTACCTTTCCCTTACAATCAAAATTTTTGGAAAACCCAAGCAATTTAATAAGACCCCCAATGATGAATACAGAACAAGTGCCCCAACCATCAAACCCAATCTTGCAGCAGCAACAACACAGACAAATGATAAGGCAGGAAACACCAACAACATAGAACCATAGCAGAAGAACCAGATTTAGCAGCTACCATTTGTCAAATTCTAGTTGAACAATTACATACATTTTTGGAACAAGATCAAAAATCAATTTTCGACGTTACTAGTGCAGAAAACCAAGAAATCTTTACTGAAAACCAAAGAAATCTAGATGACCTAGATAAAGTCCCTGACATTGTAAATAGGTTATGTGATTTTTCCGGTGACCCAGGCGAATTCGAATCATGGAAAAAGAGTGTAGATAGAATATTAAAAAATTACGCGCATACCGTCGGTACAGCAAAGTACTTTGGTATTCTGCATACCGTTCGCAACAAAATAAAAGGCAATGCAGACATTGCATTAGAATCGTACAACGTCCATTTTAATTGGAATGCTATTTCCAAATGTCTCACATTTCATTATGCAGATAAGCGAAATTTAGGTACTTTAAAATATCAGATGACTACAATAATCCAAGGCCCGAATCAATCAGTCGAAGAATTCCATCAAGCAGTTTACAGACACCTCTCTTTGATATTGAACAAGATTAGTTGTTTGGAGTTGTGTAGGGAATCAGAACAACTTATGACCAAAATATGCAGAGATAAAGCATTAGATACATTTATTAGAGGTCTCCGTGGAGATTTATCACGCCTACTAGGTATAAAAGAACCAACCGATTTGCCCTCTGAATTACACTTGTGCTTGAAGTTAGAGAATCAAGCATACCGATGAAACCACGCATCGAGTAAGATACAGCAGCCAGTCTTTGAAAATCAGCAAATTTAGAAACCTTTAATGTTACCACGCCAGATACCCAACAATTCCACCCAGACCAACTTTCCAACAAGTCCCTTACCTTGTTTCCAGACCAACCGGCAATACATTCGGACAAACGCAGCAAATGAAACATATGCAACAAATGCAACAAGGACAATTTTTCCCAACTCAATTTGGACAGATCCCTTTTACGCAACCACCACGACCAATATTTGCAAAGCCACAGCCACGTCCGGAACCTATGGAAATCGATAAAAGTATTCAGACAAAACAAATTAATTACATGAACAGATCCCAATTTGACGTAGGCAAGAGACCCCCGTTACCACTCAATGATTTGGCAAAAAGACAAAGAAATTTTAATATACAGACAAACACGGAAGAACAGACAGAGATGAAAGAAGAGGAATCACCAATCGTTAGCTACGAACAGACAATTGCAGTTCAGGAAGAACAAACAGACTACGGTGATACCCTAATAGGATACACTGAGCTCATTCACAGCAACGACAATCAATACGACTACTCTTATTTAAATTTTTTAGAATAACAGACTCATTGCCATATTTCGAGTGCAAGCTGAGGAGCGGACAGATACTAAAATTAATAATAGATACAGGCTCCAATAGTAATTACTTTATTGCCGAACCCTTTGTTAAATCAGAATCCATTCGATGCTGTCTCAGTAGGAGGCAACGTACAAATTACCCATTACAAAATGGTCAACTTATTTAATGACCCAAAGGCAATTGTAAAATTTTTCATGCTACCAACATTAAAAACATTTGACGCAATATTAGGGAACGATAGTCTCAAATAATTAGGTTCAGTCATTGACACAAACAATAAGAAATTATTCATTAAAAACGGAATGAGAATTCCCATTAAAGAAAAAAAATCGAGTCCGTAATCGTAATAATACCCAGAACTGACCACCTCAATAATGCGCAAAAAAAAAGAACTGAATCGACTACTCAAAAAATACCCCAACTTTTTTGCAGAACCAAACGAAAAACTTACCTACACCACTAATGTTAAAGCAAAAATTCGAACCAACACAGACACACCAGTATACTCAAAATTTTACCAATATAATATGGCCTTGAAAGACGAGGTTAACAAACAGGTTAAAGAACTTTTAGATAACAACATAATACGACCTTCCAGATCTCCATATAATTTCCCAGTATGGATAGTACCAAAAAAATTAGATGCATCAGAAGTAAAAAAATACAGAATGGTAATAAAATACAGAAAATTAAATAGCGTAACAATAGCGGACAAATATTATATTCCAGATATCAATTCAGTACTTGCTCATTTAGGAAATAACAAACTATTTTCCGTGTTGGACTTAAAGAGTGGGTTCCTTCAGATTCTGTTAAAAAAGAGCGATATAGAGAAAACAGCTTTCTCTATCAATAATGGGAAATATGAATTTACCAGACTCCCTTTTGGGTTAAAGAACGCCCCCACCCCTCCATATTCCAGCGCGCACTTGATGACATACTCAGAGAACAGATAGGTACAATTTGTTATATTTACATTGACGATATAATAGTCTTTAGCGAAGACGAAGAATCTCATTGTAGAAACCTGGACATAATGTTTAAAACACTAAATTCAGCCAATATCAAATGCCAATTAGATAAATGTGCGTTTTTTAAAACCAAAGTAGAATTTTTGGGATTCGTCATCTCAGACAAAGGTATAGAGACAAACCCAGCCAAAGTAAAAGCTATCGCTAATTACCCATGTCCAAAGAACTTGAAGGATCTACGATCCTTTTTTAGGATTATCAGGATATTATAGGAGGTTCATAATGGGTTATGCGAAATAGCCAAGCGTCTCACGGCATTACTTAGGGGAGAAGATGGACGAATATCTAAAGGAGCTTCGTCTAAAAAAGTTATTAAATTAGACGATGAAGCTATTAAAGCGTTTGAACAACTTAAAAATACACTCATATCCGACGATGTTATTTTCCACTTTCCCGACTTCAGTAAATAATTACATTGCCACTTCGCTGCAAACGGGCAGTTTACAACGTCGTGGTGGCAGTAACTTGGAGATACGGTATTCAGGTTTGGGGCATTGCATCTCGGACAAATCGAAGACGGATTCAGACACTCCAAGACTTGGCCTTGCGCCGAATGACCGGTGCTGACTGGTACGTCAGAAATTCCATAAATTTAGTGCTGTCTTCTTTTTGCGAATATAATAATATAATTCAATAAGAAGTATTGCAGAAAATTTCATCAAGATCGTGCGATCATGGTCATCTTGGTAAACCGTGTGACCGCTACCGCAAAACCCAAGAGTTTCCGCATACATGTGCCCACATACAGTCAT